ATTGGGAGAGACAGTTAACATTGAATAATAAAGTGTATATTAGTTATGTCAGGAGGTGATAATGCTATGAAAAAAATAGAACAAAGTAATGACTCCTTGGGCACTAGAGAAAGTTTCAATTTTAGGTAGGAAAGAAAGATTTGACCCTTTTGGGAATGTGGCTTTTTTTTGTGTGTGGTGCTGAGGATTGAACCCAGGGCCTTATACATGCTAACAGTGCTCTACCACTGAGCCTCACCCCAGCTTGGAATGTGGCTTTTGAGCATGGACTTGAGGTGATGGAGTTGGCCCTGTGGATATGTTAGTTACAGGTTATTGCAGAGGAAAGCAGACCAGGCAGAGGAAGCAGCTAGCAAAAGGTCCTGTGTATAAGTGTGCCTGGCGGGGTCAAAGAGCAGGAAGAAGGCCAGTGTTGCTAGAGTGAGACTGGAGTAGGAAATGATGAGGTGATATCCATGAGGAAGGAGGGGTCAGATGTCAGAGGTTCTTAAGACTTGGATTATTATTGTAGTGAAATGAGAAGCTGTTGCTGGATTTTGAGCAGAGGAGGAACCTTGTCGTACCTAAATGTTTAAAGGATCTGTGACTAGTGTGTTGAGCCCAGATTCTCAGGAGGCAAAGGGAAAAGCCATTGGAGGCTACTGTGATCCCTTAGTCACAGATGTTGGTGACTATGACCCAAATAGGTAGCAGTGAAGGTAATGGAGAGTGGTCAGATGCTGAGATGATTTGAAGGCAGTCCCAGCATGATCTATGGATGATTGGGTGTTCAGTGTGTGAGACAAAGGCAAGTCAAATATCGCACCAAGATTTTTGGCTTGAGTAGCTAGAATAGAGGGCTTGCCATGAACTGAGATGGGGAAAGCCATGGGAGAGCAGGGTGGACAGCAAAATTAAGAATTCAGTTTGGGGCATCCATCTGGAACTGGTCACTAGGCAGCTGGGCCTGTGAGTCTGGGGTCAGAGTTAATCATTTGGGAGTTATCTGCATGTAGGCAGTATATAAAGTCACAAGGGCTCCATGATATCATCTAGGAGGACATAAAAGAGAAAGGACCATTGGTCACTGCACATTAAAAGGTTGGAAACAAGAGAAAGACCTGAACAGAGTGTGATATTCTGAAAGCCACTTGAAGAGAGTATTTCAAGGAGGAAGGGGAGCCCTCTGTTGTGTTGAATGTAGCTAATAGTTCTTATGAGCCAGGAAGTCACCTCTGGATTGAGTAGTCTGTGTGTCTGCACATCACTGAGGCATTTGAAATTAAACTATTAATTTATAACCATGGCTATCTGCTGCCTGCCTTGAGAGCAAACTTTTTGAGGGTAGGGATTTACTTTGTTACTTTTGTTATAGTCATTGTAGAAGTTCAACAAATATTGCTTGAATGAGAATGAATAAATGAATCAGTGTGATTACCTTGTGCCTAGACCTAAATTAGACCTCTGAAGGAAGTGTGTACGAGGGCGAGCATTGGATGGCAGGGTGTTAGGGAGACATCACCAGCATCGGCAGGAGAAATCAGCTCATTGCTGAGGTCTTTGCTTTAGCTTGGAGATGTTTGTTTTTGAAGGTTCAGTAGACATCTTGGTATCCTAGATTTGATGCCAATATAAATGAATTTACAGTCATGCTCCTTATGGTCCATGGTATGATGGATTATGTACCCAGTGCTTGTGCAACACTGCAGGAGAGCCAGTGTAGATCAGGTTGTGGAGTCAGGAAAGGAGATGTTCAGAGGGAGGCATGCAAGTGAAATCAGATCTCAAGGGGATGTTGGGGCTAGCACAGGGAAAACTGGGCAGGACCTTCCTTGGAGGAGGGAACAGCATAAGCAAAGGCTGCAGTGTGGGAGCCTGTGTGGTAGAACTACCAGTGTTTTGTGGGGTATGTGTTGATACGGTGTGAACTCCTCTCTCCCACTGCACTTGAGCAACTCTGGTCGTCCATTCTCACTGGGGAGGAGGGGAGACAGATGAACTAAGCCTCAGGTGTTGTTTGTCAATGTTAGCAGTTTGGTTATTATTATTATTACTATGATTATTATTTTGGTGGTGCTGAATATTAAACCTGGGGCTTTGGACATGGTAGGCAAGTATTCTGCCACTGAGCTATATCCTCAGCCTAAGAGCCTGAATTTGAACCTATGTTCGGTGGAAAGTCAGAATTTTTAAAGAAGGGAATAATGATAAGCAGACGGGAATGGAGGCAATAACATGATTCAGTTGTTGATGAGGTGTAGGACGATTAACCCAGCATCTGACTGTTGTCTAGCTTGTAAGATTATAGAGGAAACTAGCTAGAATATTGCACCACTCATGAGTGAGGCAATAAAAGTGGATTTGAGAGGGCGTCCAGGCTTTGGGCTGCTGGCAAAGTTTCTATTTTTACAAACACATAGTTCCTCACCCCCTCATCCCGGACAGTGTAGCAGACTCCTTGTCAGCTGGAACCAGAAGTAATCTCCTGATGTGATTGCCTTTCAAGGAAAAGGAGATGATTGTACTAGGTGGAATGGGCACTAGTAATGTATTATCTACATTCAGCATGCCTGGTGAGGCTGCTTGTCCTCTTTGGGTTCCTTCTTCATAAGGCAACATTGCCCTCCAGGCTTTAGCACATTCACCTGCTGAATTCAGCGGGTCCAGAGAAGGGATCAGAGGGCATGCCAGCCTCTGATGGATTCACAGCTGGAGGATCTCAGGCCCCCAGCCAAGTCACCTCCAGGATTGTAGTCTTTTCTTTTTATAAGACCCATTGCATAGTTCCTGCTGAACGGAGGGCGGGGAGAAAAAGGGACAATGTTTGCCACTCAGAGTGCAGGCCACCTCTTACCTCTGACTGGTCTGGACATGTGTGGTAGAAACAGGAAAGTCTACTTGGGGTGGATTTTATGTGGGCTGGTTGGGGGGAGTCTGGAAGGGCAGCTGCTGATTTGCTAATTGGCAGCACAGAGGAAGGTCACACAAGTGTCAGTTTTCTGCAGTTTTTTCCCACCTAGACTACATTTCAAATGGATGTGAGAAGTCAGTTAACCAGGGAGGTGAGGTGGCAGCTGGCCCCATTTCTTCTGTCTTATGCTGAAAGTCAAAGTGAATTTTCCTATTTTTTAAGAGATGTACTTATTGACTGAGTTAGCAGTAGTTTATACCGTATATATGTATACTATGTACAGTGTATATAGTACGTATGTATGGTATATATGTGTGTGTTATTTGATTTTATTTGCAGTGCTGGGAATTGAACCCAGGGCCTTGTATGTGCTAGACAAGTATGCTACCACTTGAGCCACACAGCCATCCCTTTTTGTTTGTTTGTTTGTTTTTGAGATAGGGTCTCCATAATTTTGCCCAGGCCATCCTTTAACTTGAAATTCTCCTGCCTCTATCTGCTCAGTAGCTGGGATTACAGGCATGTACTACCACACTTGGCTTGACTGTATTTCATTGATTCTGAGATACCTGTTTTACATTTTTACATCTCTGATATAAAAAGTTTTATATCTCTATTGTCAGTGTATTAAGGCTTATAGTTGATGATGTATTATAATTTAATTGTCAGCTCTTTTGTTTCCTTAATGATATGTAAAGTAATTTGTACTTTTAAAATCATGTATATAGTATATATTATACATGAAGTGTGTGTGTGTGTGTGTAGTGTGTATCTAGTTTTGCAGTGCTGGAGATCAAACCCAGGGCTTTGCACACACTTCTCTACTGAACTGTGTGTCTAGACCAACGTGTTGAGAGAGGGTCTCACTAGGTAGCCCACTCTGGCTTTGAATTTATGATCTTCCTGCTTAGCCTTCTAAGTGCTGGACTTATAGGTATGTGCCACCATACCCAGTCAGAGATAAGGAGGATCGTGGTTCAGAGCCATCCCTAGGCAAATACTTCACAAGACCCTATCTCAAAAATACCCAACACAAAACAGGGCTGGTGGAGTGGCTCAAGTGGTAGAGTACCCACCTAGCAAGTGTGAGGCCAGGAGTTCAAACCGCAGTACCACAAAAAAAAGTATCTGCACCTAAAATGCTGAAATTGCTTACAAATATGAGCAGTAATTATAACTGGGAAGGGGAATTATAATTCATTTTAAAAATTTTCCTTTCACGCTAAGAGTATAGAGGTCCTGAGTTCAATCCAAAACTAACTAGCTAGCTAGTTAGCTAATCAACCAACCAATTAAAGAAATAAATTCTTCCTTGTTTCTTTTTATTTTGTAGTATTTTCTGCAAAGCAGTATTATCTGAATTTAAAATAACTTTCCAAGTCCTGTTGATATTTATGGCATCCTTCTTGTGCATTTGCACTGTTTCAGACATTGGTAACGCAATGATGATGAGTAGGAAGTACAGCCAGTTTTCTAGTGAAAACGAGGAAGAGAGACAGTAAACGTGAAAAAGGGCATTCCATATTTTGGAGACAGAATGAGGACCAAAGATGTTAAGATAGCGTGCCAAAGTCCTGACATAGTGGGTATAAAAACCCCACTCACTTGCCTTTTAGCTCAGTGCCTTTTCTGTTTTACCTTACCTGCTTTCTTGATTCTCAAGACAGCCAAGGAAAATTTTTGAGCATTCTAAATCAGAAGTCTCGTTAGTTTGCTGGGGTTTTTATGAAGGAGTTCTGTAGTAGGCACATTGTAAGGAAGGTGAGTTTTCTACCCAGCTGTGTCTAGAGTCCATGCAGCAAATCCCTTAAGTGATGTGCACTTTATTCTCATCATCTGAGGAATAAAGAGCTCAGCTTTTGCTGGATCTGCACATCTGTAGCCCCAGCTACTCAGGAGGCTGAGGCAGGAACATTGAGAGTTTACAGCAGCCTGTCTCCAAATCAAAATAAAAAGGGCTGGGGTTTAGCTCAGTGGCAGAGGACATGCCTAGCTGGAGTCAGTCCCCAATAATGGGGGAAGAGAGAAGCATCCTTGGTGATTTCAAAGGGTTGTGTTTGCTTTCTTTGGCCTGGAGTCACATCTGAGTGTCGGTGTGTTTTCTCTACAGCCATACACACAGCTGCGATGGACATGCTGGGAGGGTCTGGGGTCGAAAACCAATGTAGGAAAGTTGACATCATTGCAGATGCTGCATACTCCATCTTCAAAAAGCCAAAAACTTTTACTGGCAACTTTATCATTGATGAAAATATCTTAAAAGAAGAAGGAATAAAAAATTTTGATGTCTACGCAATCACACCAGGTAACGCCTTATAGTTTTTGAAAGTAGTGATATATTTTCCCACATTTTCTGCAGTTTTGCATGTGTGTTTATGTGATTGTAAAATGAATATATTTTTGTAGAAGCTATCCTCTGACAAAGAGAAAAACCCATACCATCTTTACTTAAAAAAGAGAGAGGAGGTCTGGAGGTGTGACTGAAGCAATAGAGGGGACTTAGTTCAAACCCCAGTAGTGAGAGAGAGAGAGAGAGAAGAGAGGAGAAAGGAGAAAAGACAAATAGAAGTTAGTTGAGGGATTTTGAAGTAGTATGATGCAGAGGATTGTGTCAGCTATGAACCATTTCAAGATTTCGAAACCAAAAATGAAAATTAGTTTTAAAAGGTGGTCTTAATATTAAAGATTATCAGTGCTGGGCTCAGTGATACATGCCTATAATCCTAGCTGAGGCAGGAGGATCATGAGTCTGAGGAAACCTGGGCTACATAGTGAGATCCTATCTCAAAAACAAACCAAGCAAACCATAAAAAAACCCCAAGATTTTATTCAAGATGATTTTATGACAGATAATACATGAGTAGTTTACAACAAACTTTTAAGATTGTGGACTCATTCCTTTTTTTTTTTTTTTTTTTTTTGGTGGTAGTGGTTGTTGAACTCAGAGCCTCTTGCCTGCTAGGTTCCCTACCACTTTTTGCTTTAGTTATTATTTTTTTAAGCTAGAGGTGCACTCTATGCCCAGGCTTGCCTGAACTGCAATCCTGCTATTCATACATTCTGTTAGGATGACACATGTGTGCCACCATGCCCAACCATTGGTTGAGAATGGGGTCCTACTAACTTTTTGCCTGGGCTGGTCTTAAACTGCAGTCTTCCTGATCTCCACTTCAACAGTAACTAAGATTATAAGCATGAGCTACTGTGCCTGGTCCAAATGTTTGGACTTATGGTAGGTTAATGACAGACATTGAAGGTGCATGAACAGGGTCTGTCTTAACATGCAGCGGGCTGACTTGAGAAGTCTCCTAAAGGTTCCGCTGTTAAAAAATAATTCCCTTGAAATTACAGATGATGATGATAATAGATTTTTACTTTGTATAAAAAATACAACCTGCTATGGTGAAGCATGCCTTCATGCCTGTAATTCGAGGGTCTGAGACAGGATAATGAGTTTCAGGCCACCCTGGGCTACATAGGAAGATCCTACTTAAAACAAACAAAGAAACAAAACGCGGGCGTAATCTAAGCAGAATGCCATGGCACATGCCTCTAATCCCAGCCATTTGGGAGGATCATGTGAGCCTAGATGTTTGAGACCAGCCTGGGGTGTAGAGTGAGACACCCATTTCTAACAAAGAAAGAAAGAAATAATATATTCTAAATAACGTATACTACAGCCACAAATGGGAGTTATATTTATTTGTGCTACAGCATATTTTAAATATTACTCATTAAACTGAGTGTGTGGATGACAGAAAGCACATGCTATAATTCATATGGTCCCCACACACCTCTTCAGTTCTGTACAGCACTTTTTTGTACATCACCTATCTAGCCTTCATAGCAAGCCTGTGAGGGACATAATCATTGCTTAGTGACTGAAAACACAGAACTCAGGAGGAGACAACCCAGTTCAGATTGCAGCTCTGCTCCTCACTGGGTCTGTGGCTTTGAGCATGTCACCCACTTTCTCTGAGCCCCAATTTCCTTATTGGTCAATTAAGAGGATGATTCATTCCCACAGGATTTCTTTTGGAACTCTGTGAAGTAATGTAGATCACATGTTTAGCATAGATCTGGCATTAGTACACGTAGAGTATCCAGCAGCGGAAAGACAGGCTTGAAGAGATTAATTAAACCTTTGCTAAGAGCAGAGCCTCAGAAGTGGCAGAACTTGAACCAGACTCGGTACAGTGTGGTGAAGACTTTGGATTGAAAGACACAGTGTCTGGGCTGGTAGAGCCCCAATGTAGCTTGGTGGTAGAGCACTCACCTAGCATACTCAAGGCCCTGAGTTGAATCCCCAGCACTGGAAAAAAAAAAAAAAAAAAGACACAATGTCATTATACACAAAATTTAAAATTTGATTTGTATTAAAAGTCCTCTCATTGAGCTGGACATGCTGTAATCCTAGCACTGGGGAGGCTAAGTAAGGCAGGAAGATTACCAGTTTGAAGTCAGCCTAGGCTACCTCAAAAAAAAAAAAAAACCCATCAAGTATTAAGAACTTAATAAGAGAATATTCTGTGGTATTAGGATATAATAAGTATCGGTTCACTCTTGCCCTTCAGAGGTTTAATCAGAGAGAGAGATAACCAACATCTAACTTTACTACAGTTCTGAGGGCTCTGTGGCCTTCAAATCTAGCATGCTCATGTCTTGGAGGTATCAGTGTAATGTTAAGATAGCTAACTTACTTTCTAACTACAACTGTTAGCTGAAAATAAGGCCCAGTGTAAGAGTATAGCTTAGTTTTCATGAAGGTGGAGTGAGAGGAAGAGGAGGAGAGAACAGACCTAAATACAGGGATGCTGGGAGGGGCCAGGTAAAAAACTAGTCCTGGACACTTTGGAGGGATGTGGGGCAGACACATTGTAAGGATGAGGAAGGCAAAGGCTCCTGGGATTTCAGGTAACAGCTTTACATAACAGGTGGTTTTTAAAAATTAGATCTTGAAGATGAAATTTGTCATAGGAGAAGAGGATAACTAAATTACAGGAAAATTAATTTAATGAAGATCAAGTAGTTTGGCAGTTCTCATGGGGGCTTTTCCATTGCTCCAGAATGATCTTAAAGTAAAGACATGTCTGCTAAAACAGGTGATAAAGTCTCAGTGTACTATAGTTTATGTTAACCTGATTACTTTGGGGTTTATTTTTCAGGTTATCCTTTGTTACCTGATTTCTTCTTAGATGAACACCCAGATGTAGTGATGAAGAAAAAGGAATCACATAGTAAGATCTAGACCATATTTTATGTAGAAAATGCAGATATTAAACTGATGTATTTCCTTCAAAACACAGAATGATCCTACACCAGTGACAGTTCTGCCCTGTGCCTCTAAACCATTTTGTAATTTAAACAAGTTCTGTGAGTTCTCAGTTAATTCTAGAAAAGAGATTGTGTTTTCTTTCTACCAGTAAGAAATTCTTTGTGTTTTTTTTTTGTCTGTTTTCAGTTTTATTCATTTTCCTTGACTCACTATCTTTGGATATTTCATGTTGTTGTTTTATTTTGAGGAAAAATGTGTCATATCAAAGTATTGTTTGTACTGTGACTACTTCAAAGAAGTCTAACTCAAAAATAATAGCCCTTTGAATTGGTCCAGAGCTTATATTTTAATCCTGTGTTCTGGCATCATGCCTGTGGTTTATTGAAAGATGTCAAAAGCAATCCTCCTTAAGGAATTCCCGGGGGTTGTGACTTACAAGAATGTGCCTCTTCAGGGCCCTTACCTTATTATCTTATAGATGCTATGAACCATATTTTTCTAGAAGGCTGATAGAAAATTATGGACAAATTTCCTCTATACCTTAGCAAATCTATAGGATGTATTTGATACATTTTAGTATCAAAACTTATGTCCAATGTAGTGATTTTTGTTGTTGTTTTTCTTGTGGTGCTGGGGATTGAACCTGGGGCCTTGCCCATGCTAGGCAAACCCTGTACCACTGAAGTATATACAACCCCAGCCCAGTATATTTTTTTTTCATTTTTCTTTTATTATTCATATGTGCATACAAGGATTGGTTCATTTCTCCCCACTGCCCCCACCCCCTCCCTTACCACCCACTCCGCCCCCTCCCTCTCCCCCCCCCCAATACCCAGCAGAAACTATTTTGCCCTTATTTCTAATTTTGTTGTAGAGAGAGTATAAGCAATAATAGGAAGGAACAAGAGTTTTTGCTGGTTGAGATAAGGATAGCTATACAGGGCATTGACTCACATTGATTTCCTGTGCATGGGTGTTACCTTCTAGGTTAATTCTTTTTGATCTAACCTTTTCTCTAGTACCTGTTCCCCTTTTCCTATTGGCCTCAGTTGCTTTTAAGGTATCTGCTTTAGTTTCTCTGCGTTAAGGGCAACAAATGCTAGCTAGTTTTTTAGGTGTCTTACCTATCCTCACCCCTCCCTTGTGTGCTCTCGCTTTTATCATGTGCTCATAGTCCAATCCCCTTGTTGTGTTTGCCCTTGATCTAATGTCCACATATGAGGGAGAACATACGATTTTTGGTTTTTTGAGCCAGGCTAACCTCACTCAGAATGATGTTCTCCAATTCCATCCATTTACCAGCAAATGATAACATTTCGTTCTTCTTCATGGCTGCATAAAATTCCATTGTGTATAGATACCACATTTTCTTAATCCATTCGTCAGTGCTGGGGCATCTTGGCTGTTTCCATAACTTGGCTATTGTGAATAGTGCCACAATAAACATGGATGTGCAGGTGCCTCTGGAGTAACAGTCTTTTGGGTATATCCCCAGCCCAGTTTAGTCTTAGCGCTAAGATATTTTCTTTGTCTAAATTTTTGAGGAAGTTTAAAAAAAATACTTAGGTAATAAAATGGAAACTTTTATTTTGGATATTGAAAGGAAAATACTAACTCATAATTCCACTGCTCTTTTAAAAATTAGATCTTTGGGTCACTTGCCATTTTGGATGTATCAGAGTAATAAGACCAAAAACACCAAAACAAGTCCATCAGTATTTTTCTCACATTACCTCTACTCTTTCTGAGTAGAAATTACTCAGAAAGCTTATAAAGCCTTGGAGAGTCTGGTTTACAAATTACAAGGCTACAAATCCTGATTTTTGTCCAACACCCTCAGATTGGAGGCTATCTTTTTAAGGAAGACATATAAGAACTGAGTTTATTTAAATTGCAAATTTTAAATAAGAACCACTTTATTGACCATGTTATCTTTGTTTTGATTATTTAACAAATTTTGATTGACACCTTTTATGTGCCAATTACTTTACATGTGTTGTCTTGTTTAATACTTAAGATCTGACAAGGCAAGTATCATTGTCCTCATTTACAGACACACAGCTGGCAGGTGGCAAAGCCATGATTCAGAGTCATATCTCTCTGGTTCCACAGCCTGTATCTTTAGCTAGCAAACATAACTGACTTTCCTGAACCCCAAATACTTAGACATCCTTTAAAATAGCATATTCTTGGGGCTGGTGGAGTGGCTCAATTGGTAGCGCACCTGCCTACGCAAGTGTGAGGCCTTGAGTTCAAGCCCCAGTAACAACAAAATAAAATAAAATAGCATAGCATAGTCTTCCCCCTAGTAATGCTGTGAATCAATTTATAACAAGGAGTTGCCGTCTCACGGACTAAATTTGTAGTTGCTATGATCAGCATGTTCTCTCCCTGTGGGCATAATTACACAGACACAGAAAGATACTGAAAGGTTGTTTGTGACCATGGAATCAGAGCAGGAGGGGTTAAGTAAGTGGAATGTGACTTACTGGTACCAGGCTCTGATGGGAGTGATTTTTGCCTTTAGCCATCTCCACCCCGGAGATCAGAACACTCAAATTCCTTTGGGTAACTTCCCCATAGAAGCTGGAGAAAGCATTACCTCTGTGCTCTTTTTCCTGTTCTTTCTGTTTCCATCAGTAGCAATTCTGATTGACATTTTCTGTAGCTACAGGGATGTACTCATAGGCAGTTGTCTAGTACATCTTGCTTGGGACCTAACTTACCCTTTCAGGTGATTTTTTTTCACATCCATGTCTAGATCCATTTAGTGTTCATGAAGTAGTTCTCTTCTCAGAGGTCAGTGTGTATCCCTCGTTTCCAAAGAAACCAGGTTGTACCTTTCCTGGAGTTTTCCCTGTATATGTTAATTTCACATATATATAATTATTGTAAACTTTATACATGATTTTTAATTAATAGGGGTTTATTTCTTACCACGAATGCGATATTGTCATTTCTTCACTGATTCCCACATGTCCAATCCCTGCTGGAACACAGGGAGCTAGTTGTCTTTTTCCCAGTTTACTTTTGTTCATTTTTTAGTTGTAGCTTTAGTGGTCTGTTCTAGTTCAATCCTGAATTCTCCTCAGAAAGCAATTCCTGGCTTAGTTGGTCTTTTTGGCCTTCCCCCTTGACTTCTCATTATTTAGCATTGACCTCTCATTATTTCATCCTTTTTGTCTTCTTCTGTGCATTCTGGAAATTTAATGAAGTTCAACTTCGTATTTTACAGAGAACATTGGCAGGCATTTTTTTTTTTTTTTCATTTTTCTTTTATTATTCATATGTGCATACAAGGCTTGGTTCATTTCTCCCCCTGCCCCACCCCCTCCCTTACCACCCACTCCGCCCCTCCCTCTCCCCCCCTCAATACCCAGCAGAAACTATTTTGCCCTTATTTCTAATTTTGTTGTAGAGAGAGTATAAGCAATAATAGGAAGGAACAAGGGTTTTTGCTGGTTGAGATAAGGATAGCTATACAGGGCATTGACTCACATTGATTTCCTGTGCGTGGGTGTTACCTTCTAGGTTAATTCTTTTTGATCTAACCTTTTCTCTAGTTCCTGGTCCCCTTTTCCTATTGGCCTCAGTTGCTTTAAGGTATCTGCTTTAGTTTCTCTGCGTTAAGGGCAACAAATGCTAGCTAGTTTTTTAGGTGTCTTACCTATCCTCACCCCTCCTTGTGTGCTCTCGCTTTTATCATGTGCTCATAGTCCAATCCCCTTGTTGTGTTTGCCCTTGATCTAATGTCCACATATGAGGGAGAACATACGATTTTTGGTCTTTTGGCCAGGCTAACCTCACTCAGAATGATGTTCTCCAATTCCATCCATTTACCAGCGAATGATAACATTTCGTTCTTCTTCATGGCTGCATAAAATTCCATTGTGTATAGATACCACATTTTCTTAATCCATTCGTCAGTGTGGGGCATCTTGGCTGTTTCCATAACTTGGCTATTGTGAATAGTGCCGCAATAAACATGGTGTGCAGGTGCCTCTGGAGTAAACAGTCTTTTGGGTATATCCCCAAGAGTGGTATTGCTGGATCAAATGGTAGATCGATGTCCAGCTTTTTAAGTAGCCTCCAAATTTGTTTCCAGAGTGGTTGTACTAGTCTACATTCCCACCAACAGTGTAAGAGGGTTCCTTTTTCCCCGCATCCTCGCCAACACCTGTTGTTGGTGTTGCTGATGATGGCTATTCTAACAGGGGTGAGGTGGAATCTTAGTGTGGTTTTAATTTGCATTTCCTTTATTGCTAGAGATGGTGAGCATTTTTCATGTGTTTTTTGGCCATTTGAATTTCTTCTTTTGAGAAAGTTCTGTTTAGTTCACGTGCCCATTTCTTATTGGTTCATTAGTTTTGGGAGAATTTCGTTTTTGTTTTTGTTTTTTTTTGGATTATCTTTTTTTTTTTTTTTTTTTTTTTTCATTTTTCTTTTATTATTCATATGTGCATACAAGGCTTGGTTCATTTCTCCCCCCTGCCCCCACCCCCTCCCTTACCACCCACTCGCCCCCTCCCCTCCCCCCCTCAATACCCAGCAGAAACTATTTTGCCCTTATCTCTAATTTTGTTGTAGAGAGAGTATAAGCAATAATAGGAAGGAACAAGGGTTTTGCTGGTTGAGATAAGGATAGCTATACAGGGCATTGACTCACATTGATTTCCTGTGCGTGGGTGTTACCTTCTAGGTTAATTCTTTTTGATCTAACCTTTTCTCTAGTTCCTGGTCCCCTTTTCCTATTGGCCTCAGTTGCTTTAAGGTATCTGCTTTAGTTTCTCTGCATTAAGGGCAACAAATGCTAGCTAGTTTTTTAGGTGTCTTACCTATCCTCACCCCTCCCTTGTGTGCTCTCGCTTTTATCATGTGCTCAAGTCCAATCCCCTTGTTGTGTTTGCCCTTGATCTAATGTCCACATATGAGGGAGAACATACGATTTTTGGTCTTTTGGCC